CAATACCTGAAGGGGCTACAAGGAAGCTGAGGAGGGACTTTTCATAAGGGCAACTAATGACAAAACAAGGGGAAATGGCTTTAAACTGAAAGAGGGTAGGTTTAGATTAGATCTTAGGAAGAAGTTCTTCACTGTGAGGGTGGTCAGACACTGGAACAGGTTGCCCAGAGAAGCTGTGGATGCCCCCTCCCTGGAAGTGTTCAAGGCCAGGCTGGATGAGGCTTTGAGCAACCTGGTCTAGTGGAAGGTGTCCCTGCTGATGGCAGAGGGGTTGGAACTAGATGATCTTTAAGGTCCCTTCCAATCCTAACCATTCTATGATTCTATAAAAGTAAATAAAAGAACCCAACAAATCTAAAGGTCTTGTGTGGTGCAAGCAGGATCATTTTATTCAGAAGTTAAACCGATTTTTATTTGCTTTTACTACAGTGGCTGTACTTTTTTTTTTTTTAAATAGTGTCTGGAGTAAGACATGTACTGTCAGCCATGTCTGCTCTGAGCTGTTCTTGCAAATGCATAAAGATTTTTGCAAAGGCTAGAGGCTTTAACAAGCAAAAGTCATTTGGCAACACTTGTTCTACAGCTTCAGAGTTTCCAGGGTTTGATAGCTTTTGTAACTGATGAGTGTTAAAATTTCATGCCCTAAAGCAAAATATTCTTAAGCTACAGGCTGAATCTTGTGTGCTGCTGTGAGACTGCAAAGAAAAGCACCATTTTTGAAGAAAAGCCAGACTGGTATTCAGGGTTTTGACTTAAGCCATGGAAATTCATACTAACCTTTCTAGGGAGGGATGTCCTTTCTATTTTTATACTGAGGTCAATGTCACCTGGCAAGCTGGTTACAGTACAGTGAAGTGAACTGTTAAAGAGTTTTGTGAATGAATAAACTTCAAAGGAGGCACACTGTGGCACTGGTTTGAACTATGTTTCTTCAGTATTGGGTCATGCATAAACTAAGCATTGGTTTGCATTAATTTATTAAAATGGAGAAATTGATAGTGGGAGTTGTAATCACATTTCTTAATAATAGGAGTGCTGATAGCTCACAATATGATACCCCGCTGGCTCTAAATACCCCTCACTTTCCCACTAACAGTCGGGCATTTTAAATCCTTGTTTTAATACCCAAGCAAAGATCTTTGTAGTCAAATTTATATGCAGTGCAGTGGTCCCATAGTCTGCCTGTGTGCATGACTCCAGACTTTTTTTTTTTATCCTTACGTTCTGTTCATGTTAGTAACTTGAGGTTTTTACCTCTACTTAATGTTTAGTATGAGTTTCATTTCGGTTTGTCTGCCACTTCACAGATTACAGTAATTAATATAACCTGTCAAATTCCTTAGGTACAGTAAGATTTTACAAACAGTAAAGTAGAATACCAAAATGAAGTTACAGTATAAAGCAATCCCAGAAAGGTATTAAACCTCATCTAAATGAGGAGATATTCTGTTAATGAATTAGGAGCTTAGTTCTTTAAATGGGCAGCATGAAAGATGGAAATAAGTTGTTTGCACATGCAGTGTTCAAAGAGAAATAAGACACAAATAATAAGAGTGTGAGGCTGATGATGTCCAGCCTCTTAAATGGAAGGAACACTGTCCCATTCTCTTTTCTTTCTCCATTTCACTGAAAAGAGACTCTTACTTTGTTTGTACTTAGTAGTGTATCAAAATGCCTGCCCCAAAAGACACAATTCCTTCCAGACCTGTGTGAATATAGCTTCTGAGAAGAGGCTGATCCTGCAGCTTAATCTGATGCAACACTGAAAATGGCAGTATATTATCTAAGACCTTTTGCAGGAAATAAAGGAATCCGTTCCAGTGAGCATCTAATACTTGAAAAATTATTGGGTGTTACAGACTAGGACTAGGCAGATAACTTAAAAAATAAAATTAATAAAACACCCTTTCAGCTGAAAAACTGTCAAGTACAATAAAACCTTTTGGGTTTTATAAGAGTATGCAAGAAAGGGCAGGAATAGTCTTGCACTGTGCCTTCAGGAGCCTAGCTATTAAAGTACCATCCAACAGATCCCCCAGTTAAAAATAACTCCTAAATCTTTCAGATTTTAAGCAACTTTCTGCTATGGTAGACTGTAAGCCTAAAAATTAAACTGCAACATGGCTCTTGCTCCATCTACAGGAAACAAAAGGCAAGTCTGACTGCACATCTGAGACTGCAGCATGTCTACAGCTGCCAACAGTGAATGACCTCTAGGCCAGAAAGATTATGGGATGAAGTGGCTAGTTTTCCCTTTTGTGGTTGGATTTAGACTAATACTAAATATGTGCATAAATTCAGATTTGAGACCTTATCTACATAGTACTTCTAGCCTTCCTATGGAATCGTTCTGGGAGGGTATAGCACTTAATTCAATAGCTTGTCTGCCAGAATAAATGCTGTTTCTTCAGGCTTTTCTCCCAAAGTTTAGACCGTCTCATTGGCTTATTGTAGCCTATAGGATTTTGTTTACTTAAAGAACTATATTTTAACAGCCATGGGCACATAATTGCCAAAGGAAAAAAAGGTATTTTTATTAGAGACAAAATGGTTCAAAGTCTAGAACTTAACCATTTTATTGGATTAGAAGCTTACAATTGGGAAAGTGGGAACTTTATTTGACTTTCTATGGAAAAAGCTGAAGCATTATCAGTCTTCTAGCACTTAATTTTGACACATTTTGGAGAAACTATGTTAAGGTAAGAACCTGGAGGAAATACTTTTGTTAGCAAAGATACTTCCAAAAAAAAAAAAAAAACCCAAACAAACCCACAGTCAGGTTAATGCCACTTTTTAAATTATGAAGATTATTCAGTTGAATATATAACTTTCAGATAGAAATCATGAAACTCTAGTTACCACGTTTTTATACTTTTGGGTATAGAGGTTTCAAAAGATGCTGTTCTGCAGGAATGATGCTATATTTTGGAAGCATGCATAGTTTTTTATACCCTCTTTGCCTAGAGGGTAACTAGGCATCAGTGACAGCAATCACATGCACACAGCAACATCTGGTTGCACAACAGCTTTGTTATAAGCTTTGGGGAATTTTTACACCTAATATAGTGGAGGGTTTCTAATTGTTGTATTCAGAATTACTTAGCTAAGAGTATTAAACCACTGATTTGCTTGGAGGGAGAATAGAGAAGCTGTCTTTAAGGATATTAAACAATCTTGTTCTTTGCTGCAACTTTAGGGAAGAAATGAAGAAATAGCAAAACTTGTGCAGCTGCTTGCTTAGACACCTGAAGTATTGACTAATCTTACAGATCTATGTTGTTACTTTTGATGATGGAAAATTGCTTTTTTTAAGGTCAGTTGGTCACAAAGTAGAAATCTTAAAGGATACAGTGATTCCTAGATGTTGCTGCATGAGAAGAAAGGCAAAAATTTGGGACAGAAGTTTGTAGCCCTTTAGGTTCTGCTTCTTTTTTAAAAAGATACTGTAATGTTGAGGAAATTAGGACTGATCTGTAAAACTTAAACATTCCTTCAGCATGTGTTTCTTTAGGCTAATAAATGCTTTTTCATTACCCAGTGTAAAGCACAAGCAGTCTTTAGTGCCTGTTGTGGCATAGCTGACCCTTTGAGACCAAAATAAAGGTCTGTCACTTTCATAATTAATGTGCTACCCAATCACTCACCCAGCAGGTCCAGTTAGGTATTTCAGCTTCATGAGTTCTAACAGGTATCCTGTCATCCCAGCAGATGACCAGAAGAATATTCTATGTAGTTTTGCATTACCTTTAGGCTAGCTCTAGATAAGCAAAATGCCTGTTGAGTTGTAGGGGCTGTGATCAGACTTCCTTCATCAAAACTGCTTAATAAGCAACACCAACCACCTGCTTTCTTTAAAAAGAAAGACGCAAAAAACATTCACTTGTAAGATCTTGATTAGACTTAGTGCTAAAGCCTGCCCAGTTGTCTGTCAGTGTTACTCATTAAAATCTAATTAAGATCCATAAGGTCCTTTATATAAAGGCATAAGATGTTGAGTAACTTTCTTTGGTTAAAGCTGGAAACAAAGACTGAAGGCTGGAAAATGTCATCTTGGTGCTAAGAAGCCCTATTTTATATAACGGTTATACAACAAGACAAAAAAAAATCTAGAAATATGGCTTTGTCTACTAGTAGACTACATACACTTTTATGTCTCAGCCATACGGACTCAGATTTGTTTAGACTAAATGGATGATCATAAACTACTTCTGGTGGAAGCATTATATACTACTTCTAGAAAGACAAACCCTAGTCTTAGAACATAATGACCATCTTAACTGTATTAAGATTACTAAGCACAGACTGACCTACATAGGGATTTTTTTAAAAGTTGGAGTAAAACTCTAAATTTAAAGTCTCTTCTAATGCTACTAACTAGAAAAAGAATTCACAACTGTCTGTAGAGAGTTGAAGATATAAATTTGTTCTTAAGCTTACATGCCAAAAGCTACACTTTCATATGAAAGCTAGTGTACATTAAGTCATTATGCTGAAGATCCACCCAATAACCTACAGTTTAATTTGTCACTCTATTTTGAGGACTTGGACTCAAATTTCTGTGTAAAATAGCAATGGAATTTTAATGATTCCTTCTCTAGATGTATTACTATACTACTTTAAATTTTCTCTTGCCCTATATACTTCCTTGGATTATTTCAGTATTGGATGTCATTTTTTCTCTTTAATAAAATACCATACACAAAGAACATGGTAAGTAAAACAGTATTTTGTTTTGGATGGAAGACTTGGAAGATCTCTGCATTCTTTGATTCACTCATTAGGACAAGCTTTTGTGTTCTAATGCTCTTAAGTACTCTCCAGCTAGAAACTCCAAAAGCGATGCAGCACTGTCTAGTTAAAACTTATATTAAAATACTTGCTTAAATAACCCTGATAAGGAGGGGTAATTCACTTATGCTGATGTAGGAGGCTGGTTAATGATATTTTAGGGTTTTTTAAATTAAAAAACATGTTAATGCTTTTTCTGGTTTGTTTTGTAGGCTGGAGTAAAGGGAAAGCTAGGCAGACTGCTTGGGATATTTGAGGTGAGCTGTTTCCTTTACCCTTTAAAAACAATGTTCTTTTTTGTGAGAGTTGATGAAACTTAACATCTACACAACAGAATCAGACTGAAGTTTTTAAGTATTACCTGCCTTTAATTTTGCAATTCTGCTGGAAATGCTGTGTTAGGTGTTTTCCTTTGTTACGTGACATGTGGAGGTTTGAATAGGAAGATTTCAAAGTGCTTAGAACTTTCCTGGAAATATTAAGTAAGTACTCGGACAACATCTAGAAGTTAAAACCAAACATTGGTAGACCTAGGATTTCTGAAATGCCACATGTGACTTTTTGGGCAATATTTTGATTTTTCCTTTCCTCAGTTTTGCTGAAGTAACTTGTCAGCTCTCACACACCTAAATTGATAGGTCTGTATATCAAGTGTCCCATTATGGCTTTGACTGACTAAAAAAGCTGATGCTTTGGATTACAGATAAATCTAACCTTTAGCAATACTATATAGTTCAAAACTTGTATTATGTAATGTAAACATCAGACTGAACTACTGACAGCACAAGGATGCATACTAGATAAACTCTTTTAGTGTTGGCATGGCCCACTTCTGCTCAGGTTCTAGACAGCAGTGGACTGTAGAAAAACAGGTATGAGATTCAGATCATAATACATCCAACGTTACTATGTTGTGCTGCATGGTGGGTGAGAGTAGAAGTCCTTCAGTCTAGGAGTGACATACAAATTCTCACTTTTATAATTATAAAAGCAACTTTTGGAGGCAGTGTATTCCTGATAGGGATTTCCTACATGAAATATTACTTGATCATTGTATGACTGCCTGGTACAGTGCTAAAGATGTTCCCATTACCTGGAGAAAAGGAGGCTGAGGGGAGACCTTACTGCTCTCTACAACTACTTGAAAGGTGGTTGTAGTGAGGTGGGTCTCAGTCTCTTCTCCCAAGTAACAAGTGATATAGAACAAGGCGAAACAGCCTCAAGTTGCACCAGGAGAGGTTTAGATCTCAAAGGTCTTTTCCAACCAAAATGATTCTGTGATTCTATTCTATGAAAACTGTGACAAAATTAGAGAAGTTCCTGTTTGTAGTTAGTAGCATTCACTATACCTGGGCCCTTTTTCTGATTTGTTTTGGGTTTATGGATACACCTGGATGGGCCTACGCAGTAAAAACTTGTCTGTTTTTAACTCTACTGGTTAGTCTGCAGAAGTATTCTGTATTTTCCAGACCAGACCAAAAAAAGACAGGATACCTGTCATCTTGTTGCCTTAAAACAGGGGCTGCAAGGGATGATGATTCTTTGGTAATTTAGCTGTCTGTTCTGAAGCCATCTACCACCATCTAGACCAGAGGAGGTAAAATGTGTTGAGTGGCACTTTTCTAGGTTACTGCTAACTTTATTAAATCAAGGCCTTAATTCAATTTCACAACATAGCCCAAAGAACAGTTGTTATAACCAATGAGGGACCACACAATGCAACCTGGAGGTAGAAGTAAAGAGAAAATGGAAATTATATTGCTGCTGAATGCTTGTGTTCTGGAACTACAGCCAGAAAGGATTTTTTTTTTTTTTTAATAGATGTATTTACTCCCTTTAATAATGATACTGACAAACAATTGTCTTGGAGTATTTTTATTTCCTAGTAAAGCACAACAGTTTAAATCTATAGTGGTAAAACAGTTATGTGGGATGGTTATTGGCACAACAATAAAGCTATCTGTAATAAGAGCTAGAGCATAACATCTCTTGGTTCTTAATATAGTTGTAATTATAGATGGTCCTGGGTTTTCTAGGAGCTCAGTTCCCTTCCAAGGGGCGATACGGTTTGGTTAGTGCAGTAGCACCTTTAAGAGTGTGCTGCTAGCCTGCTTTGGAGCTAGTGGGGAGTAGTGTCCACACAGACGTGGTGTGGGCTGGCTGCGGCACAGCGACCCTGTCCCGAGCAGACTACCTCTGTCAGTCTCTGTATTTGACTTGCTTTGTTCAAAAACGCTGTGCTTTCTAAATAGGTGCTTGGTGCTGCTAACATGGGAAACCTGTCCAGTGAACAGATGGCAGTTGTTTTTGCATTTGTCATGATTGCAAACATAGTCTATTTAATATGCCTCACTGAGTGAAACTTCATAGCCAATATTGCACAGATGATCTGGCCACATGATACAGTGGTTCCATCTTGCAAAGGTTTTTTGAATAACCTTTCATCTAGGAACATGAGTTGCAGAAACAGTTTTAGCAATTGCACTCTACTGCATTAACTTAAACATACGTAAAGGATGAGTAATGGGCAGTAGTAGTGGATAACTGCTAACATAAAACCGGATGACCAAGAACATAATTTGGTCTCAACTTCATGATCTTCAAATTTGCTTGGGTTGTTTGGGTTTGGTTTTTTGGGGGTTTTTTTGGTTGGGTTTTTTTTTTTAGCCTAGTAAAATAGAATGGCTGTTGGCTGTTTCAAATAAAACTTCAGTTTTCCCATGCTTTTGGGCCTGCTCAGTACAGGTGCTTATTTACTGGAAATAAAAGCCAGGCTTTCATGGCAAGTATGTTTCAGATTTTCTAGTCTTATAGTATTTTCTAGTCTTATAGTTGTTGTAAGTCTGTCAGTTTTTTTGCTGAGAATTAAAATGTCTACTTCTAATATTCAAGCAGAACCAGGATCGGAAGCATAGGACATATGTTTATGTTCTTACTGTGACAGAAATACTGGAAGACTGGGAGGATTCAGTTAATATAGGTAAACCCATTCTCTGTCTTCATGTGTTATACTTAAAATGTATTAAGCAAAATTCTTTAATTTTCTGAAGGTATTCCTGTAATTCTAGGGGAAATACTAATTCTGTTCTATAAAGTGAAATTACTAGAAATTGTGATGCTGTTCTTTGCTTTTGTACATGTATAACTAGAGTTGCTTCAAACATACTGTGTTACTCTTATGTTATATTAATTAGGGTATTCTGAGTATTAAGATTGAATAAACTCCATTATTAGATGCTGATAGAGCTCTTAATTTTGCTTTTAGGCCAAATACTATACTGATTAATTATTTCTTTTCCTTAAAAAGTAGAGTGTTCTGCTGTCTGATACTCTAAGGTGTTTTTGAAAGTGTCTTGAAAAAAATCTTTGGAAAGTTTCCCTGGTCCTAGGGGAAAAAAAAAATCTGTAGTATTTACTTTTACCTTGGCCTTATTTTTCAGTAGGGACAGTACTGACCTTAAGAGGTATCTATTCCTATACATATATATATATATGTGTGTGTGTGTGTCATACAGATAGCAATGTAATACAGTTTGGTTAGACTGAAAACTGAAACTTTGTGCATTTAGTGTATTTGTCTAGCTGAAATCTGAGTTAACCAAGAATCAATATAAAAATGACATCCTATTTTGGTTATGCTTTTTTCTTTAGCATTATTAATCTCTTGGTAAATGGCATGTAACTGTAAGGGTAGTTTGAAAACTGTGCTCAGTTTTTCAGGTGGAAAGAGAATGTTTTGTTTCTGATACTATCAGGTTGTGTGGAGTGCAGCCTCTTAATTGCACTCATTTTTAGCAATACTATCGTTCACCTTTTCTGTAGGTATTTTCAGAGGCCTCTAATTTTAACAGACTTACTTGTATAAGAAAGATGGTCTTAAGAGTATCTTACTAAGATAAGTCTTAGAACTTGAATATCTCTGGCATAAGGTGTATTATTTTTGAAAACTCAGGGATAACCTGAGTAACTCTGTACATGGATATGTTTTGAGTATGGAACGCTGCTTTCTGAATCAGACCAGCCATTCTTCTTCTGTAACTTCATGCATGCAGGTTCCTTCTTCAGATTGGTTTTGTGCTAGGCATGACAATGCAGGAAGGCAAGTATTAAGTCATTTAAATAATAGTATCCTTTTCTGTAAGGACTGTGTGTGGCTTTTGGAGCATATGAACAGTCATATGATCTTTCTGCCCAGATCTACTTCACAAGAGTTATCTGAAAGTCTTTATTAGGAATTTCAGTAAGCTTGAGTGAATCTCTTTTGTTCATAAGCTCTTTCAGTGTCTTTTTACTCTGTATCTTTTGCCTGACAACTGGAACTTCTGAAGTAAAAGAAATTAGGAAAAAATGAATTATGAGATAGGAGCAAATGGTGCTGTTAACAAATGTGTAACACTTTGTCTTTGTGGATTATACTCATTTAGGAAGGAAAAGAGAGTGGTTTAAAGTAGAAGATGCAATCAAGGTCCTTCAGTGTCACAAGCCTGTTCATGCAGAGTACTTGGAAAAACTGAAACTGAGCTGTTCACCCACTAATGGAAATTCTGTGGTTCCCCCTCTTCCAGATAATAACTCCTTATATGTCACTTCTGCACAGACTTCTGGGTTGCCCTCTACTGTGAGATAAACATTTGGATTACCTTTTTATTCATGTCATCACAAGGGAAGACATCTGTGATCACATGTAGGCATCTGTATAACAGTCAATTCTAAGTGAAATATGTGAATGTGTCATAATGTCAGATTTATTTGAACATGTTTTTCCTTTTTAACAATGTAAAATAGTATTTCAGCAAGCCAAAGCCATATATGGATTTTTTTAAGATGCCTTAATAGGCCATTTTTAAAAAAAAAAAAAACTTGAGTATATAAATTTCCATATCTGCTAAAATAAAATATGCATCTCAGTGCTGTTCAGCTTATTTAAGACTTGTCAGTCAGTTAGTAGTTTAGCAAGAATACTTGCTTAGAAAAAAGCTTGAGCAAATAGTCTTATACAAAACTCTTATTTGGTATCTGAAAATGAAGCGCCAAGATCTTACGACGGCACTATTTGGGTAAATGGGTGTGTTGAAGGCAGAGATGCACGAGTGTGACTGCAGTAAAGCACTAAACCACACTCTGCCCACCGAGAGCAAAGGATACCAACACTAAGCATTGCTTGCCTCAGTTATCCAAAAGGTTGCCTTGTCCTATGCAATCTTCATGTAATATATAACTTTGTCTTGCAACTACCAAAACTATCCACTAGACTTTTGTTTTCATTACTTAGTCAGCTGATGAACTAACTGTCAGAAGATTTACATGAAAAGCATTGTAGATCACTCTTCCCCCACTTCTTTCCTTTTAGCATTTTGCTACATGTTTTGTTTGTGGTGTCATGACACTGCAGCTTCTAATCTTCAATGAGAAGCATCTCATGTAGTGTTCCTGCAGTCTGTCATTTAAAAATGTATAGAGGAAAGTCAGACTTACCCAAGGAGCACCCTTATGTTAGAGGTGTCTATTAGCATCTGTTGAGGCATCTTGCCCAGGAGGAGCTAGTAGTGGTACCTCCTGGGCTTGGAGACAGGTGGGTTGATACTTACTTAGACTAATAGAGAAATAATATTCCTTTGTCTTATTCCAGAAGTGTGCTGAAAGCCCCAGTTTTAAGTTAATTCTTAAATACTTCAGTTTTACTGTTTTAACATCAATTGCTTTAGCTTCTTAAATTAAAAGCTGTCCTCTTGATAAAACTTAGCTGGAATAAATGAGGTTCAGCTGACAACTTCCCTGTTCTTAATTATTTTCTCTTTCAGCCAAAAAGGTGTAAACTAAATACAGTCTTGGTCTTAATGTTTTTACCATAGGATTACTCACTCTGTGTGCATGTATGTATGGTTTCTCCTACAAGAACACAATCTAATTCATACAAACATCCCAATTCTGAATTTTTCTAGGATCTAAACCCAACTGTACCTCCTCTACAGACAGCCAAAACAGAGGTTGAGGTAGACCATTACCTCACATGTGAAGTTTATTCTGGGTAAAGCTCATTCTCTTACACAACATTTGAACCTTTGTAAATAGTCCAACTAGTAAATAGTGAGTGTAAAATGGAAAATAAATGTAATTTAAATCTTTTGTTACTCAATACACAAATGGTTAACTTCTACTTTTTTAACACAAATTGTGTAAAATGCTGCTATAAATTAAACTTTTTTGTGCTGTTACACTTTTTTAGGAAAAAATGTTGCCACAAGTTTCTCCTTAGAAAACCAATCTTGTGCCATATGTAAATGCATTGAAACTAGAGAGACAGATGATCTGATCTCTTAATGCTGCTCTCTTTGAAGAGGCATAAATACTACTGACAAGAGGTATGAGCCACAAAGCTGAAGACTTCTGAAATGTTGGGTAGGATGCTGCTTTTCTATCCCTGTGTCTCCTATTCCAGGTCACTTCCAGAGCTGGAAAGAACACACAGCTCTGTCCAGGTGCACCTCAAGGTGGAAGTATTGCCAACAGCTTATCCTTCCTGTCAGTTGTGAGGTGAGGGGCTGGGGAAGATGTGGTGTTATTTCAGTAGTGCGCACATGTGTATGTGTACTTCACACTGAACCTAATCCAGATTGGGACACCATTTACTCAGCTCACTTATTTAAACTCAGTGGTCTAGCAAAAGCAGTGTTCTGCCAGGCAAAACAAAAGAAGGGGGAGTTGAGGATGTTGAAGAATGTCTAATCTTTGTTAAAATCATACCCACAGCGTGTAAGGGTACCTCTGGCTCTAAAGCTGCCTTTAAAAGAGTGAATAGTTTAGCTCCCTTTTTTGATCACTTTGCTCACTTTTTTGTTCAGTAGTTATTTTTTAACACTTTAAATTGAGCAAACTTGTACAGGCTTTCTTGTAGCAGGATTATATATATAGTATCTGTGAAAGCTAAAACAAGAATCCAGAGTTTGAGTTCTTATTCATAAAAATGCTTCTGTCTCCATTTCAGATTCTTGGAATCCAAGCTTGTATGAGATTTAGTGGTAATGCATGATCTTATTTTGTAACTCCTGAATTATGTATTTGATAATAATGTAAAAATGTACAGTATTGCTGTTGCTAACAAACTGAGAGTTGATTGCCTATAAATATTTTGGTTATTTTTTGGTCACACACATTTGAGCTGTTCAGTAGTGCCAGACAGTTTTGATTTTGTTTGGTTTTTTTTAAACAGCATTCATTGTATAAATCTCTTCAGTCTCTATGCAACCTTCAGAATGAAGCTCTATTGCTTAGTCTGACTTTCTACACCCTTTCAAAGATAACTGTTCTGTGAATTGTAAAAGTAAAGTGAAAACACTTATGCTACAGGAAACAACTCTAGTAAACAGGCAGTGGTATGGCTTCAGTCCTCATCAAATCTGACACTAAACTTCAACAGAAAGGGTATGTGAGGAGTAGGAAGGCTAAAGTTTTTTCTATTACCTATCAACAAATCTAGAAGCATTTTGGTTTTACATGCATCTCTAGATGGGCCAAACTTATTTCATACAGAGCACATTTGGGATTTTTCTCATGCTATTAATTCTATATAATATATCCAGATTTGGTTCTCCAAAGAAAGGGAAAAGACAGGTTGTTATCTGCAATTTTCAAAAAATCTACTTTTTACTGCTGCTTTTCCTGGCTGTTAGGTTTTGAGTTAGACTAGGGTGGTATCAAATAGAAATAGCCTTAAAGTTTAAAATCTGGTGGAGACAGATGCAAGAGACTGAGGTATTGCAGAGAGGCTGTTAAAAGTGAAAAGTCTTATTTTGGTGCTTACTGCACCCCTGACTTAGCCAAGCATTGGTCTGTTAACAATGTGCTGTGCAAAAACACTGAGAGGCAAACACTTGGTTTACTGACAGACATGTTCTGTGAAGTGAAAACTGAAGGGAAAGGCGGGGGGGGGGATGCTGGGCAAATTAAGTTGTAAACATTTTGACCTGCTTGCATGGATTTTCTTTAAAGATTGATGTAAGAATTTTGACTTTTTATATTTGAGAAATACCAGAATAAAATCTAAATTAGTCCTGTGGATGATGTAGTTATTCCATTGCAAATACTGCAAAATAAGTGTTTGTGCAAGAGTCTTCAGTCCCATCTAAAATATACTTGGTTTCATCTAATGTTTCCTACTCTTGCCTTGTCCTTGCACTGTGGAAGAGCCTTCTCAAGAGCTTATCCCAGCACCACTGCCCTAGCTCACTGTACAGCCCTCTCCCATGTAACTGTTACCTGTGCTAATGAGATTTCTAACTCTGCTTCCTTTTGCTATCCTCACACCTGCCAGCTGCAGCACAGACGTGTATTTAATATCTGTACAGTAACAGTGAGATCACACCAAAGGCCCAAAGGGTTTTTCAACCTGCTTTCTTCTTCTGAGTGAGCAGCTCTCCTGTCTCTGTATGGCTTCTGACACTTAGACAGTCACCACACATCCTTTTCTGGATTTAAGAGTTTTCCTGTAGTTTGTCTGGCTCCTATCAGAATAGCTGCCATGCATCATGTGAAGCTGAAGCACATAAGTAGGAGCAGAATGTGTGCCAAAGCACAGCACACAGAGGGAGAGGCAAAATTATTGACTTTTCCAAGACTCAAAGAAAATAAGAATGTTCAAGCTTTAAATTGAATGTTTGGGGTTTTTTAAACTTGCCCTTTTACTTTCAGCACTGTTCTGGCCTCAGTACTGCTAAGTGCTGCGTGCTCAGCAAACTGATGAAGCCAGTGCTGTGTCCTTACAGTAGGAAGATAATGCTCCACATGAGGAGTGGTGTCACTGCTTAACCGGCAAGCTTAGCAGCTGCAGACGTGCCCCTGCTTGTGGCAATCTGAGTGCTATGGCTATGCAGCACCCAGAACACTGCTCTCAGGCAATTTTCTGTCCCTAAATAAGCATGAAATGCTGTTCAAAGAGCTAATTTGATAATTGTGCATGGGGCATAGGCCACAGCCACCCCTCCATAAATTCATCAGTGCCCATCCTAAGCCCTCAGTGTTCCCTGTAATAATAATGAGAGTAGCTGACGGGAAAACCACAGCAGCAGTACTGCTGAGGGCACAGCAGCTACTTGGGCTGAGATGAGCACACCTGCTACAGCAACAGAACATCATACATTAAAGTCTTTTGGATTTGTAACTGACCTTGCAAGCCTGTCTACAGCACTCACAGCCAGCTGAACACAGTCACCTGTCAGACAGGGGGGTGCAGGTGAGGCCTGAACCAAAAATACTCCTTCAGAGCAGCTCTGAAGACAAGAGCCCAGCCCACACCCAAGTACCTGAACCACAACTTTGCAGTAAGTACTCCAGTTGGAGATGAGTTTCCCATGTGAAATAATTAGTATTTTCCTTTTTTAAAAAAGGAAAATCTTTCTGTTACATAACACATTTGCAGCAATCTCTTTTATCTGGGAAGGCTCGTGAGGCATGATACACAGAAACTGCAGGTACTGTACCTCCCTCGGTGCTCTACCTCGAGGAGGAGTCCCGAGTATTCAGTGCCTCATTGATGAGCTGATCAACAGTGACAAGCCCCTAGCAACAAACTGAGCCACCCAGATAGGTCATCTTGGGGTATAATTCCCTTTCCTAACACAGGTCACCCAGGGGGTAGTGTTCAGCTGACAGCTTCCACTACCACCCTTCAAATCAGAGATGGTTTTATCCTTAGTTTTCTGCCCTGCAGGCAAATAGTGGTCTACTTGCTCACACCTAACCCCTTACTCTAAGTGTTGAGAGGAATTTTCAAAAGCAAACAACACAGATAAAGCAGGTGCACTGCTTGATGCCACTCTTCCACTACACTTCAGTGCAACATAACATTTAGATACTTGCTTTAAAACCTTCCTGCACTTAGACAGGAAAGGTTGCAATATGCAGTATGA